GCATCAAATCAGCATAGTTATTTTGACAACACATATGGAATTGATTTCTTCCACTACAATTAACATATAAACACAAGAGTAACAGATGCTGAAAGGACATGCAGGTATGATGGTATAAATAATGAGTGGAACAGAATTGCGAATATATCTTGACACAGAAGTTCAAATGTGGTATACATACTCTTCATATGGACTTATACAGACATTTCACAGATAGTTCTATTTTAACGTCGATATGTACTTCTTGCAAATATTATCAAGAAGATGAATACCGTGTGTTATTAATATGTCCAGTGTATGAAGATATAAGAATAAAAGAAATGCTTACCTGACTATTATAATACGTATCCAATACATACAGATTGTACTGTTAATGATCAACAAAAATAGCCACATTCTTTCAGACATGCAGTCTTTGTCAAAACGATATTTGAAAGAAAATGATACACAAAATATTAAGATAACTCAAATGTGTAAATCTATACAATTGGAGCTCCACGACACATTTTCCTACAACAAATTGTCATTGTACTATTGGCGTCATGGCTATATATACACAATAAATCTGTCTGTGAATCTGTTTACTTAGCATCTCAATATTGATCAGAAGCCTTACACCCTCTCACCCAACTTGCCCAATTCCAGTGAACCAAATATTCAAATTCAAACATCACTGTGCATCAGTGAAATTTATTCCTGTCAAAGAGTAGCGTCTGGTTTGTCTACATCCACAATTTTATAACACAGATATCAGTAGTGTTAGAGTTACACCTATCTAAACAAAACAACCCCAAATAATAGGGTAATCTACGCGACTGCTATGTAAATGTTAAACATAGGTGATCAAATTGCATATGATTTCAGGTACTGAAACTGTTGTTATGCACTTTAAACGTTAATGCCCAAATCAGGAACCTTTTTATCAAGTTAAAATGTCAAGGAGGCTTACCTCATTACAAGTAAATTTGTTCTAATTTAAGTTACCATGACACAAGCCAATCTATAACACTAATTATATAATTCTGCCAGATTATGTAAGCATAAAGGATTAAAGAAATGTTCAGACCGGTTCATTCTTTAATAGTTACAGTTACTGCTACTACTAGGCTAGATGAGAGAGTGTAATGTCAGGATCACGTTCATCATGCCACAATAGAGCACATAACTCGCTGAAACCATGATCAACAATCACACAAATGACATCAACACTTATGCATATTATTCTGCACAATATATATCCTTCAAATAGTGAATAAACATGTTAATGTTTCATTTACTAACCTTATTTATCCTTATTTATAATGCCTGACAAGTCAACGGATTAATTGGCTTTCACATACGAGTGAGCGTTGGCAGCACCTGTGTCTTCACATCACTGGAAACCACGTGGTTGCCAAGGGAACCATTTACATCAGAGCATGAATTAATCCCGAAACCGTTTCCAGACTGACTTCATTATGGATATATTCAGGAACACATGGTAGCGTAACTAACATCTGGTAGATTACATCAACGTTAACACTTTCACTGCCTCACACAAACTTCGGTTTCCTGACAGATAGCGCATATTTATTGAAAAAGACAACGAGTGATTAAGGCTTCTCAGTCGAAAACGTTAAGATTTAATATCCTGGATGTTAATGTGTGAGCATTCAAACATGCAAACTGCGTGCCAGCGGTAACAATATCTGAGAAACTCAGCCACCTATCCACCCAACAATCGTGACACTAACCCAACCAACTACACAACAATCGTCACACGTACCCAACCATCCACCAGCAATCGTCACACTTACCCAACCCGCCCTACAATCGTCACACTTACCCATCCCACCCTACAATCGTCACACTTACCCAACCCACCCTACAATCGTCACACTAACCCAACCACCCACCCAATAATCGTCATACTAACCCAACCACCCACCCAACAATCGTCACACTAACCCAACCACCCACCCAACATTCGTCACAATTACCCAACCATCCTCCCAACATTCGTCACACTAACCCAACCATCCAACCAACAATCGTCACACTAACCCAACCATCCTCCCAACAATCGTCACACTAACCAAACCACCCACCCAACATTCGTCACACTTACCCAACCATCCACCCAACAATCGTCACACTAACCCAACCATCCACCCAACAATCGTCACACGTACCCAACCATCCATCAACAATCGTCACACTTACCCAACCATCCATCAACAATCGTCACACGTACCCAACCATCCACCCAACAATCGTCACACTTACCCAACCATCCACCCAACAATCGTCACACTAACCCAACTATCCACCCAACAATCGTCACACTAACCTAACCATCCACCCAACAATCGCCACACTAACCTAACCATCCACCAACAATCGTCACACGTACCCAACCGTCCACAAACAATCGTCACACTAACCCAACTATCCACCCAACAATCGTCACACTAACCTAACCATCCACCAACAATCGTCACACTAACCCAACTATCCTCCCAACAATCGTCACACTAACCCAACCATCCACCAACAATCGTCACACTAACCCAACCATCCACAAACAATCGTCACACTAACCCAACCATCCTCCCAACAATCGTCACACTAACCCAACCATCCACCAACAATCGTCACACTAACCCAACCATCCTCCCAACAATCGTCACACTAACCGTACCATTCATCAACAATCGTCACACTTACCCAACCATCCACAAACAATCGTCACACTAACCGAACCATCCACCAACATTCGTCACACTAACCCAACCATCCTCCCAACATTCGTCACACTAACCCAACCATCCACCTACAATCGTCACACTAACCCAACCATCCTCCCAACAATCGTCACACTAACCCAACCATCCACCAACATTCGTCACACTAACCCAACCATTCTCCCAACATTCGTCACACTAACCCAACCATCCTCCCAACATTCGTCACACTAACCCAACCATCCACCGAACATTCGCCAGACTAACCTAACCATCCACCAACAATCGCCAAACTAACCAACCGTCCACACAACAATCGTCACACTATTCCAATCATCCATCCAACAATTGTCACACTAAATTAACCATCCACCAACAATCGTCACACTAACCTAATCGTTCACACAACAAGCGTCACACTAACCCAACCATCCACCCAACATTCGCCACACTAACCTAACCATCAACAACAATCGCCAAACTAACCTAACCGTCCACACAATCGTCACACTTACCACTAAAAGTTAGAAAATTAGAATTGATCTCCAGCAACCCATGCTTGTCGTAAGAGGTGGCTAACATTATTGGGTGGTCAGATTCACTGACTTGTTTGATGCATGCGTCCTTATCCCAACTGCGCAGATCGATCCTGGTTTTGTCAATCACTGGCTTCACTGGTCATGGATTGAGTATTTAAAGGCCGCCGTGTTTTAGCTTGAATACTGCTGAGTGCGGCATTATTCAGCAAACAAACAAGGATATATATCTGGAGAAATCAAAAATGGAAATAGGTTAAAAACTACAAAACCCAGCGACCTTCAATTGCAAATATTGCATTAAACATTGGAAAATCTTCCGTGGAAAAGATGACACATATTGTCACATTTCCTTTGTTAAGTTCAACTGAAACTTTCATAAAAACACGCCACAATCCAAGGTATAACATTAAATTTCATTGAGGAAATCTTACACAATTGCAGCTTGTGTCCCCAACAGTAAAGTCCCCACAAGCCCAAACCGACAGGTATTCACCTGCTTGTGAATAGGCCGGGTTTGTTTGCCCTTTGGAAGGACTCGAAATACTTATCTCTGCCACTACTATCAATCGTCGTTTCCAGGTCTTTGGGGACGCTTTTGTTCGTATTTGGATTAGGACCCTTTGTTGTTCGATTATTTCCCTTTTCAAAGCTGAGCACAATGACGCACAGATTTCCGAGAACGGCAGTGAAGGTTTATCACATGTCATTCCGGACCCGTGAATATCCGGGGTAGAATAGGTCTTCAGCAACCCATTCTTGTCTCTCCATGAATATCCGGGGTAGAATAGGTCTTCAGCAACCCATTCTTGTCGTAAAAGGCGACTAACGGGATCGGGTGGTCAGGCTCGCTGACTTCGTTGATGCATGTCATTATATCCCAAATGCGTGGATAGATGCCCATGATGTCAACCACTGGATTGTCTGCTCCAGACTCAGTCATATACAGATATGGATTATTGTTGAGTGAGGCATTAAACAAACAAACAAACAAACATTTCACGAGCACCTTGGATGAAGGCGACTTCCATTTCAGACTTGAAAGTTAAGTTCTCGATTAACATTTTGAAAACTGAACAAACGAACATTCCGGAATGTCTTAAATATGGTTGAGATTGTATGGCAGTGCTTCCCGGGTACTGTGCAACGCCTCAGTCGTACGGGCCGTAACTGTCATTCGGAATACCCAGTGTTAACGTTTTCGAGGTTGCATGATTAGAAAACACATTCCGACGGTCACTTTCATGATCTGGTAAGCGACGCTTTGATTGGTCGAATGAAAGGTCGTTCTGACATGACCCGTAATGGGATGTCCTCAGATCTTTGTTCAGCAATAGCGAGAACTAAGATCTGATTTTAATGAGATTGGAGGCTAAACATAAAACAAGAAGGAAACTGTTATTCCATGGTGATGTAATTCATACAGGTAACATAGTTGTGTTTTGGACCTTAAGTTTGCATTGTTTCGGCGTCTGTTTTCATCCTAGTAAAGCTTTGATAACGTTTGTAATGATTTCGTCAAATACAGTTTTCAGTTTGTTTATTTAAATCCATTCAATAAAGATGTTGTATTGGTGACGTATTGAGAAAAGGAATTAAAGTACATATGTATTCAGGCCACGTGTTACTCTATGTCTTCCTGCCCCTGCTGTGACTCGATGACTATCTTTAATAACTAGGTTACCTCACATCCTCAGAATAACGTTGCTATATATAAAGTCTTTGCACATGTAACTGAATGTAATGTTTTAAATCAGTTTTATTGTCATCAAATGAAGTGTTTAATTTTGTTAAAACATTGTCTTCACCCGGTCTCTTGTCTTTTATCGACCTAGCTCACACATCCAGTAAGAACCGCATTTCCAACCATCCCCGGTACACGTGCACTCCTTGCAGGATTCAACGTAATGCTCGCCGTCGCTGTACACCTTCCCGTCGTGTTTACAAGTTTCTGAAATATAGGTGTGCGTTCAAATTTGTTTTATGATTGCAGCAAATTCTACTGCTTCAATGTTATAAGAAAGTGATCTACTGTACAGTACTCTCATCGTGTATGGACAAACAGTGGCGGGCGGAAAAACAGACAGATAATTTATCATCCCAATAAAATACAGCAATATTCATATACATGTACAACATAAAGAAATTGTGATAGTGGTGAAATTGAGGATAAGTATCATATTTTATTTGAATAATTTTTTTTTTATTGTTGCGAAATGTTTACCAAATGTTACTCGTCATGTAAGCCTTGTAAATATTTTACAGTCTTAGCAGCAAATTAAATTTTCCAACTGTTGCTATTTACTCAAAACAGGTATTGAACGTGTAACGTTGTAGTTTGGTTGAGTTAAGGCCTTTGTAAGAACTTTTATGTACGCTTCATAAATTTATTTCTCTACTCTTCACAGCTGGAAGCTGAAGTTATTGCATTGTATTTGTACTATTGACCATCGGCAGTGTTGCAGTCTTAAAATAATTTCCCCCAGAACACAGGACTGGCTACTTGAAAATCGTGCATGTCTGTGTGTCTGTCTCGGCGTGTTAGAGAAGTGAGAGAAAAAGCTCGATGTGACGCAGTCACATAGACATTTTACGGACCAATCAACGTCGACATAAGAGAAAGGCACAGGGTAAGGGAGATAACTCGTATTACCTAAAACCCAAAGCCACCGCAAGTTGTAATGGCCATGAAGTCATTATTTCCTTCAAAAAGATTTAAGAAGGCTTTCCTTTGCGTGTAATTAAATTATTCAATGTTGAATTTCTCGCAAACTCGATCATATTCACCGGGACGTAACACCAAGGCTGGTTTGTAACTTGCATTCTGATTGGTATGTTAGGTGTTGTAGCGCAGCCAATCAAATTTGAAAATGAAAATCAAGGGCGGGTAATTTGCAACCGTAAGAAACACAGGGGTGGATCCAGTGGTTAGTGTAGGTTCAGGGAAATGCGAGCCCTGGCGATATGGAGGAGGATCTACCTCTTCATGCTTACGTTTGGATGTTTGGCGTTTTCCGCAGGGCAGAGAAAGACATCTGGGCCCGGTGTCCTCACAAACACAATAGTGGCACCCGGTAGAGAATGTGTCCCCAAGGGCGTGGCTCACTCCAGCATACTCACACGTGCTGCCTGGAAAATATACAGGTGAAGTGAATGATAGATGCTCGCATGCTTTAACAAGAGACATACTGACGTTCCTCACCTCTCTAGTGTATGGTGATATTTGTCCCACCTTCTGGTATTCGTGTGTATGTATATATGCATGCATTTTGGATTTTGAATCTGGTTCTTTTCATACAAAATTCTGCGTGCGTGCGTGCGTGCGTGCGTGCATGCGTGCATGCATGCATGCATGCATGTATGTATGTATGTATGTATACCATTGACATATATCGAATCCATACCGGTATTATATATACAACACAGGTCTCCCCAGAACTTATAAAACGATCGCGTGTATTTGTACCCGGCTGGCGGCCACACTCAATCAGCTTGCAGTCCTCTCCGGCAGTGCTAATTAAGCCCCGCCTCCTCGTTAGCGTTTTTTAGATTCCTTTGGGTTGTAACAAATACAGACCTCAAACTACGTATTTTTTTATTAAGCGCAATGGCGCAAAGCTTCTGCTTTCGCACATTTTTTCTCGGCCAGCGTAATGTCCATCATACTGGCTACATACTGAGGTAAGGAAACTGTATTTCTATTTTTCAAGTCACTTGCACTTTAAACCCCATTCCACCTCACCTCAACTCATCGTATCCCAACAATGCAACATAAGCCCCGCCCGTTCTCTTATCAGCCAATCAGGAAACAGTAGTTCGTTATTGGGCGTGGTCTAATTCACTTTCGGTTCATGGAAATCAAATGCCACGAAATCACTTGCAATTTATTTATTCAAAACCCTTGCGCAAAATGCGAAAGCTATGTAATCTTTACGTCTACAGTAAACTACGGTTATAACGAACTCAAAGGGACCACTAATTTTAGTTCGTAATAACCGTAGTTCGTTATAAGCATATACACAGCATATCTACAACAAATGGCCGTGACTAAAAACAAGTTCGTTATATCGGTGAGTTCGTTATAAGCGTGTTCGTTATAAACGTAGTTTACTGTATTAAACTATGAGTTCTCTGCACAACAAGGCGCATCAGTAGACGTCAGCGGAAAGGGATTCAGGTCGGATATATTAGCACTTTCACAGGTATGGCACTGACAGACCAAGGGTATCATAACCAGCGGATCCTGGCACAATGAAAGGACGCAACTCTGGAGAGAGAATCACTGTTCTTAAGACCACTCGGACATCCCCCCTCCCATTCCCCCACCCTTCACACGCACACACACACGCCGCACACGCACGCACATACACACACACACGCACGCACGCACGCACGCACGCACGCACACACACACACACACGCACGCACGTACACGCGCACGCGCACACACACACACGCAAACACGCACACGCAAACACACACGCGCACGCACGCACGCACACACGCACACGCACGCACACACACACACCTCTTCACCCCTTAACTGCTGTACCTCTCTTGCCGAGTTGTTGACCACAGAACATAGCAGTACAGAGGGGTCCCCACTTGTCACACATGCAGGTGTTGCACCCGTCACTGAAGGTGTCGCCCACGTGATAGGTGACGCCGTTTTGTACACACGTCGATGCCTCAACAGCTGAAGGAAGAAACAGGTTTTGAAAAAAAAATCTAACATCAAGCAATGAACATATTCTCTTCAGTTTACTAAAACAAAATGCGAGGTAGATAAAGATTTTTTTTATTTTTGAGGACATAAAGAGACATTCATACATACATAGTCACACACATAAACATATACATATATGTCCGCCCCTCTTCCATGTGTATATCATCCTTGTTCAGTTTGGGATCCAATACTGTAATATAAATTATTATATTATATTCGTCCCGCAATTATGGAAACCTTGCGTTAACGGATATCAAATATGCAATGCATAGCCATGTGAAATCCTTAACTTATATACTTGTGAAAATTCTAAGTTCAACAACCAGGGTATGTTTATATAGCTTGTAATTAAACACACATTCCTCCATTTTTAGGAATTCATTTCTTCTGTACCGTTTAATGTCCAATCTATGGAATACACGCAACCTCTGTCTGGTAAATGAGTTAGAGAATGTGGTTTCAGGGTGGAATACTATTTTTATCAAAAGCACATTTTAAACTGGTTCACGAAAGTCGAAATCACGATATCGCGAGAACGTGAGAATGTCCTAAACAGCATTTCAAAATTTGTTCAGAAAGATTATCCAGTTAATCATCTATTTTCAGGTGTAAATACGTATTTCAGTTGCACCATACATTCCTATATTGCGTTGGCTCGTCCCGCTGAAGGCCCGGGTTCGATTCCCAACATGGGAAAATGTGTGAAGTCCATTTCTGGTATCACCCGACGTGATATTTCTGGAATATTGCTCAAAGCGGCGTAAAACCTTACTCACTCACTCCTACATTTAAACTACCCTCCAGTGTATACTATTAAGACCAGCATTCCTCGCCAGCCTTATATTTCAGTGATAATTGGGAAGCGTTGTTAAAATATGTTGTCTGTTTCATTTCATGACCCGCCCGTCCCTAAAGTTGCCATACGTTTCTCAACCCAAAATAGTTACGCCCCTCGTGGGTGAAGAACAGAACAGAACAGAACAGAACAGATATTTATTCATGAAAAAGACTTTCTGGCAGATACAACAAAAATATATATCGAAGGAACGATTGGATATCCATGGTGACAACCTCTCCGATCCCATGTGAATCTGACTCACTCTCAATGTCATAGCGAGTGCAAAATAGTCGTCAGTCGGTGTAGAACGACATTTTGGGTTGAGAAACGTATGGCAGCGCTAAGATTATCGTAACTCCCATACTTTAACATAGGCTCACAAAAGTCGCAGCGCTAAGATTATCGGATCTCCCATACTTAACATAGGCTCACAAAAGTCGCAGCGCTAAGATTATCGGATGTCCCATACTTTAACATAGGCTCACAATAGTCGCAGCGCTAAGATTATCGTAACTCCCATACTTTAACATAGGCTCACAAAAGTCGCAGCGCTATGATTATCGTAACTCCCATACTTTAACATAGGCTCACAATAGTCGCAGCGCTAAGATTATCGTAACTCCCATACTTTAACATAGGCTCACAATAGTCGCAGCGCTAAGATTATCGTAACTCCCATACTTTAACATAGGCTCACAATAGTCGCAGTGCTAAGATTATCGTAACTCCCATACTTTAACATAGGCTCACAATAGTCGCAGCGCTAAGCTTATCGTAACTCCCATACTTTAACATAGGCTCACAATAGTCGCAGCGGTAAGATTATCGTAACTCCCATACTTTAACATAGGCTCACAATAGTCGCAGCGCTAAGATTATCGTAACTCCCATACTTTAACATAGGCTCACAATAGTCGCAGCGCTAAGATAATCGTAACTCCCATACTATAACATAGGCTCACAATAGTCGCAGCGCTAAGATTATCGTAACTCCCATACTTTAACATAGGCTCACAAAAGTCGCAGTGCTAAGATTATCGTAACTCCCATACTTTAACATAGGCTCACAATAGTCGCAGCGCTAAGATTATCGTAACTCCCATACTTTAACATAGGCTCACAAAAGTCGCAGTGCTAAGATTATCGTAACTCCCATACTTTAACATAGGCTCACAAAAGTCGCAGCGCTAAGATTATCGTAACTCCGGATCCCATACTTTAACATAGGCTCACAATAGTCGCAGCGCTAAGATTATCGTAACTCCCATACTTTAACATAGGCTCACAATAGTCGCAGCGCTAAGATTATCGTAACTCCCATACTTTAACATAGGCTCACAATAGTCGCACCGCTAAGATTATCGGATCTCCCATACTTTAACATAGGCTCACAATAGTCGCAGCGCTAAGATTATCGTAACTCCCATACTTTAACATAGGCTCACAATAGTCGCAGCGCTAAGATTATCGTAACTCCCATACTTTAACATAGGCTCACAATAGTCGCAGCGCTAAGATCGCTTTGTGCAAGTAAGCCCCGGTAATCAAATTGACAACCCCAACCTCCAAAATCGTAATTCTTATAATTACTTCAAATGTTATCATAAATAAATGATATACGATCAAGGATGAGGTTACTGAAATCTATTCTGACATACCCCTCTCCTCGCGTTTCCCCAGGATACACAAGACGCCTATGCGACATACGGGTCCTTTCACTTCACAGGAGCAGTGTTCACAGTTGCGCTGAGTGTACATTTGACCAACGTTGTAGGTGTGCCCAGAGCTCTGGCACTTCATCGTCGTCTCTTCCGAAAACACTTATAATTAGTTGTTGTAACATATTTTGTAGGTCCAACCATTCTTTCTCTTTTCGTAGTTTAGCATTATTTACCTCAGCTACATAAATGTCAAATGCTATACAACACCACTGTAGTGTCTTGATATTGGAAGCCTACGTTAAAATATTATATATATAATTGGCATTTCAGAAGTTGACGGATGACAAAGTAGACACAATTTATGGATATCAACAGTCAATGAAGAAGTTGACCATGAATGGTGTCTTCTTTGAAAATTTGAGATCCGAGACATAAGATCGTTTCTAGGAACGAGGCTCCATTGGAACGTGTTGAATTTTTGGATCATTTGATTTTAATGCCTATTATATGTTATTAAAAAGATTAAGCAGTCCGAGAAAATAGAATCGGAATTGAGTACTTCGGATACAATGTATATCAAAATGACCTCACCTTGAGTTGTTGAGCCGATGCATACGGCAAGCAGTATAACAGTTACCTTCGCCATGTTGAAACAAAGGTTCGTTAGAAAGATAAGAGAAAACCTGCAGCTGTGTATACCTTGTCGACGGTGCCACTTTGACCTCGTGTCATACATGTATATTATCTTATCACTGACTTTGGTTTATTTGTTTGTAGGACATTTAGGACACAAACGTTACTGTTAGCTTTGGTTCATGACTTTGGTGAAGGTTCACCCTGTAACGGACACCTTATATGATTTTGTTTGTTTGTTTGTTTGTTGGTTGTTTAACGCCGCACCTAGCAATATTCAAGCTATATGACGGCGGTCTTTAAATAATCGAGTCTTGATCTAACAATCCAGTGATTGACATCATGAGCATCGATTCACGCAATTGGGATACGATGACCACCCGATCCCGTTAGTCGCCGCTTACGACAAGCACAGTCGCCTTTTATGGCAAGCTTGGGTTGCTGAAGACCTATTCTACCCCGGATCTTCACGGGCCACACCTTATATGAACAAGTAGAGATTGCTGCAGTGGATCAATTGTTCCCCGCCATATACTGTCATATGCAGAGGAAGGAAGTGTAAGCTATTGGAGGAGAGGATTGGTGTAAAGTTCAAACTGGTCGTTATTAATGTAGTTATCTTTGGAAATCACAATAAAAGAAACAGCGTCCTTAAATGGTCAGCACACGGAAAACTAAGGCAAGAAAACACATAACTTGGCAGAACTTGGTATATACCCACTATTAGCACCAATAATATAAAAAAAAATAATTGACAAGTCCTATATAGATAACACAACAAATGTCATTCTTAAACATGCTTTGGCAGCAAATATCAATCTTTCTGGTAAAGAAAATGTTGTCTGGGTTAAATAGTAAACACAAGGAAATGTCATTAATCCACTGTAACTAAACTAGTCCAAATGTAAAAATATGTTCACGCATTCACTAAGGGATTCCGATGTATCCAACAGCAAGTTAAGAGCATACAGGTTGGTTATCAATAAATATTGAAAATTATCTTACATATTGTAAAAACAAAGATCATAGGTCCATTTCTCCAAACTTTGTTTAAGTAATCACAAGCTAACAATTGAAACTGGTAGATAGACACAAAAACACCAACCCCATTAGAACAACGTCTCTGTGAAACATGTGATGTCTTAGGAGATGAGCAACATTATGCACTGTATTGTATAAAATACAATCAAGAAAGAAAATCACAAATAATCTTGAATCATGATAACAAATTTGGTACACTCTATGAAAAGAAACAATTCTTAATAATTTTCAACAACAATTTCCAATATCTTTTATCATATCTACAAGTATAAACAAAATCCTTGTATGTACAACATTACCATAGTTTTGCTCATTTCGCATATTGTTTCCATATCATTATAATACACTTGTTTTAAAATAAAATTGTTTTAATGTACCTCCGTTGTATGTTGAATGTACCTGTGTGTTAAGCGCTAATTGTGCATATATTTTGTAATTTGTAATTGTGTAATTTGCCTCTGTTTTTTCATGGAATGTTACGCAATACATTTTTCATCTAAAACATCTTTGTTGTATGTTAGTTTGTTACAGTTGTGTACCGGTGCACTGTTGGCCAAATCTCCTAGGGCGCTGCAATTCGCTATGCAGAGTTGTGCCCCTTGGGCATGCTAGAAACCTATGACAGTGTGTTCGAATTCCGGTTTGCCCCAATTATGTTGTCAACATTATACCCGTGCTCGTGGGTTTCGCATCACTTCGGGCTTTCCTCCCTCATCAAGCTGACACGGTGTGTGATAACTGGAATACTGTTCAAAGCGGCGTTAAACCCAACTCACTCACTCACTCACTTCTCTCGTGTACGGTTCCGTTTGGTTAACGGAGTTTGTGTTATTATTTCCGGTTTAGATTTGAGTTCTGTTTAGAAGAATGTTACTATGTTCAACCTAAACATCGTGAATATATCATACAACTGTATTATCTTTTAGGAAAATAATCGCAAACAACAGACCACCCTGTTGATTGCCTATGTATCCAGAGGCAAACACACACGAGTGTATAATCTCTGCCGAAAGTTAAAAAAACTGTCACAAAAAACCAAACCATACAGACGCAGTGGACAGTGAACTACTTGATACAATTCTGTGCTCAACTATGCACAGCAAGCACCATACATGTGATCGTGAAGACAACTAATTACAAATGTTTCATATCAAACCCGTTGCTTTACATATGTTGTTCATTGAATAAAGTCATACTTGACAGAAGCCTGGTATTTAATCGTGTTGAACAATACGTTGCAATATCAGTGTGAAGGGAGAAAGACCGAGTGCTCGTTACATGCTTGACCTGCACCATTCCTTCCTGCAACCGTTCTTGCTGGCTGCCTGAATAACATACGATATATTGCAAAGGTAGCGCGCAATAGAGCTATTCGGGTAAGGGAGATAATCACTCACTCTCTGTGATACAGCTTGAATAGGATACGATGTGCAGCGTTGCAAGGTCAGTGCGTGGTACAGCTCTGTACCACGCCTATAGCTAAAGGAGATAATCGTTCAAAGCGCAAGTTTATTCTTACAAAATATAGACCGGTTAACTTTAGCGAAAGGAGATATATTTCTCCTAAACATTTTTAGCTTTTTTTAAAAACACAAATGAACAAATTGCATGAATTATCTACATTACGAAACATGGGTCCGGACGAAGTCACAGAATGTGACAGGCGATTGGTTAAAACATGTCCGGATTAAGTCATAATCATTTCATTTTAATAACTCCAATTTTAAGAGAAACCAAAATGGCGCTCTCCATCAGTCAAAAACAAACTCACACTTATACTACTTTGTTTGGTTGGTTTTTAATGCCACACTCAGCCTTATTACAGCTATATGACGTCGGTATGTAAATAATCGAATTTGGACCAAAAATCCAGTGATTGATATCATGAGCATAGATCCACAGTTATTGACCACAATTCGGGCAAAATCATGTTTATGGACTCAAGTAGATGATGTTGATACCGGCCGCTCGCCTCACCCTTTCATGGGTCCATAACGAGAGATTATTGTACGAGCCGGTGTGTCATACTGATTTTACGAAACGGCTGTAACAATGTTTATACCTCCCAAACTAGAGCGAGTTTCGAAAAATCAGCATGACATCTCGAGTTTCCTTTCAGAAAAATGCACTGATCACGACCGCTGTCAAAAAAAACACAATTTCTCGAACAACGTCTAAAAACTTCAGCAATGACGTTATTTCCAGTGTGGTCATTCCCACGTTACGTCACAAAAAGGTTCGAAAGACGTCAACAATGCCGTTTGGATGACTTAAACAATACACTGTGCGCGAGAAGTGATATTCCCACTAGTGCACAAACGATTTTAATGATATCGGTTATTTCTAACCCTGTGGGTAATAAAACATGATATTGCCGTTATAAATAGACAATAATTGATAAATAAGTTCAAAAGCCTACTCAAGTTGATAGTCCAATAGTTTGGTTTACGGATATATGAATGAAACCAAGTGTTATCGCGATCGGGTGTGATGCATCGTGACGAAGGAAATGAACGACCAATTGGTTGGGGGAATGGCAAAGCGACTGATTACTTCTATTTTGTCTTGTGTAGTTGCAGGTATTGTATTCATTAGTGGGATTATAGAGGCAGATGAAATGGGCAACATAATTGCATTTGTAAGGCCCTGGAATAATTTTCTTAATTAAATATATGCTCTGGGATCTGTAAACGAGACAAATAATGTACCTGCCAGTTCGTTCCCTGAACGGAAGAGGAAGACATTTTAGACAGCAGGTCTCTACTCTGGCACTAGTGGCGTCCTGTCATGAAGGTGTCTCTCACGGAATAGCTGATTTCATCGACGTCACTCTTGCTGTCTGGGAGCATGCACGAATACATGTGAATTATCACGCAGATTCAGTAACACTTCTTACTGAGCTTTGAACAGATTGGTCGAGTTGTAGTCAAGCAGACGGATCAGACGGTTGACATGCAACTGGAATTCAGTCAGTCACGTCTTGCAGAATGTATTGCAGGGATTATGACATCGGAATGTGTGTTTTATACTAATTAATGAAGCAATCCACAGAAAGTCATTGTACAACTTGTAAAGTCTGTAAATAGTGTTATTGTGATTTTGTGGAAAATGAATGTCACAATGCAGTCTTTATGAAGATTTAATATATTATTTATTTTGTGCAGCTGAAGAAAACAACCCAAATGTTAATATGTGCGATGAGGAGAATGTTTACACTATTTTCATATATTTATTGTTTGTCTTCTTCCCTCTTTCGTTCTCTCCACTTTCTTTTTCTTTCGTTGTTGAATCAAGGAGTTACTGTTTCCTGTGAGTCGTCTGACTTCTATCTAAATTATCCAACTCTCACATTAAATGCATATATTTGTGTTTTTTTTATTTAGTGCCTCATAGGCCTATGGCTCCACTCATGCACTTCATACACTTTATATTTTATGTGTATTGATTTTAGATTGTACATGTGCGTGTGACACTTTAAGTGATAACAGTTACTATAACACTTTACTATAATTACTTTTAACTGCCATTTAAGACTTACAAATTAATCTTTGGTTCTACGGTGTGCTCTAAATGTAGCTACCACAAAATGTGCCACCAATATTCACGGGTGCTTCATGTTGCAATACCATTTAGTCATGTCTAAGAATTATTTCTTAATGTTTATGAGTCTAGATCTGAACTTCATTTATTATTGTATCCTTCATTTCGAGATAAATATCTTTTATCTTAACGTATTGATCTGCACATCTAGGTAATAAAGAAGACAGCTTCATTAATGCCATCAAAAACAGAGCCTGTCGCTTTTTAATGGATGTTAGGTGAACCACCCTTAATTGGACAGTAAGGGGTGAAATGGACTGGTTGCAGTCCAATGTTACAAAACAAAGAAATAGAAGTTGCAAGTTGAATATAGTACCTCCATATAGATTGACTGCTTCTATTAGAATTGATCTTTGCCATTTAGGTTGGTTGGTTGGTTTGTTGTTTAACGCCGCACTCAGCAATATTTCAGCTATATGACGGCGGTCTGTAAATA